ATCTCTTTCGTGGATCCCGGCATGGTAGGGACGCTTGCATGTGGGAACATAGGGCAGAGGTCACGCAAGCTTGCTGATCGCTTTAAGGGGGCCTGTGATGGACAACACTTTCTAATACCGTTCAATGACGTGTAAGTATGTTTAAGTTGTTCATGTCAAGAACTGATGTTCTGAATTGTTTCTTCCTTGTGAACTTCGTATTCAATTTGCATTTGTAATGCTTTGTTAACACACTTATGTAAATGCGAATTTCTTTAAGTTCGTGAGAATGTCGTAATTCATATATGTTTTTATTTGTAGGAATCATTGGGCTTTGACTGTTGTCAAACCTAATGAAGAGGTAGTGTACTACATGGACCCCCTTAAACGGCGTATATATAGTCAGGAGTGGACTGAAGTGGTTGATAAGTAAGTAGTGACTCAATGAACAAAAATCTTTGGTATTTGCTATCACTCTTGATTTTAACATTTCTCTATTTATCTTTTTTGGTTTCCTTATAGTGCTATAGTTTTTTACAAGAATACCATGAACACACCTATGTTGAAGAAGAAAGTGTCCTGGGAGAACATGGCGGTATTATATGATTCTTATTATTTGGTATGTATTGCAGGTTGAATGAGAACCGTACTTTATATTTTTGTTTTTTAGGGCATCCCGATGCAAAAAGGGAGTGTAGACTGTGGCTTGTTTGTAATGCGATACATGAAAGAGATCTGTCAGGATAAGGAGGTTTAATTTGCTTCAAAGGTAATATTGTTGTCTTAAATGTAGTTTTTCTTGTTTCGGATGGTTCACACTTATTGTGTCTTTCTCTTATTCTGGGGATATTTACTGTATTGCATGTTATCATACCATTACCGAATTGCAAAGTTTGAATTGCATGTCGCTTTTATGTGTTCTCTATTAAGTGCTTCTTTGCATCAGTGTATCATTTAGGAGTGTGTTTTTTTTAGTTTGAATTTCTGGATAAATGCAATTTCTAATACATGCTCTTTACACAGATTTAATTTGAAGCTAATTTAAGATAGCGCTGTACAGAGTTTTTT